ACACACACACACACACACACACACACACACACACACACACACACACAGCTATTGTTTGCCTGCAGCTTTAAAGGCTAAGCTGTTGTTCGACTGATGACCAAAGTGTTTTATCTCCCGCTGCAACAGGCGGCCCTGCAAATAAGTCTCGACGAAAGCCACGGACGACAACCTGCTCTCTGCGATACAGACACACACACACACACGCGCACACACCCACACACACACACTTTCACATGTAAATACTGTGTCATATATCAGGGTTGCATGTGCAAACATGATTAGAATACATGGACACACGCTGCAGGAGCGTGTGTTATCCCTGTGCTGCCACTGAGCAGCGGAGATAAGAGAAATCCTGTGTCCTTCACTAAATCATTAGGCATTAAATACAGACATATTGTGTGTGTGTGTGTGTGTGTGTGTGTGTGTGTGTGTGTGTGTGCCTGTTAACTACTGCTCTTGAGATTGCATTTGGGCTAAAAGGGTGAAAGGGATAAATAAATGCAGGGGTGTGGAGATTGTGGCAGTCCCTCTGTTTATTCTCAGTACGTAGAACAGCAGAGCATTTCCAGAAGTCACCACTTTCTCCACGGCTGCTCCCAGTGGACTCAAAGTTTAAAAACGGCACTAGGGCAGGTTGAAAATAGCAGCCGACACGTACTATCTATGCACGGGGCGATGTTGTGCCATATGTGAGCTGATGATCCCAGGGGAGAAGATGATTAACTGCAGCGGTATACACTGCAGAGAGCTGATGCGGAGGACGTATTGTGTATATTGGGATAAACGTCCCGATATCTGTGTGTGCGACTGTGTGAGCGTGTGTGTGCGTTACCTGAGTCACAGATTAAAATACCAGCTGTGCTCCCCATCTGTCACCCTGTCGCTCAGCCTCACACCGGCCAGCAGGCCAGACCCAAATGAGATCGAGATCGTGACAAAAGGCTGATAAAAGCTGCCCACAGAGGAGCTTTTTGGGACCATCAGCAGCCAATCAGAGATCTGTGATTCCTTTGTTTTGTAATTCAGCCTGAATGTAAAATTGATGGGAAGTTGAAAAAAGAAAAACTATGATTAACATTTTCCTTTTTTCCACTATTGGAACCTCATTATCTTTTCATGATTTTGTACACTGATGACAGTGATGCTGTCAGTCTGGTCTGGTCTATCGCTCTAATAAAAAAACAATCAGCATCACACAAAATCTGCATCCTTTAATCACCACAAATGAAAATCCTGAAATTAGTGTCTCGACATGGCAGGACAGCAAAACAAATCCCCAGCAGGGATCCCTCTGGTGAGGTTTTGAGTCACAACAAATGCATGCAAGGAAGCGGGGGACATGAACCTCCGTGCATGTTACGCCTTAATAGTTATGCTCCTGGCTGGCAGGTAAAAAAAAACATTAAACTCCAGAAATACCAATGCGACAGAATACTAATCAGTTCCAACCAAGCCAGTCTATAAAGCAAACTGTGTGTGTGTGTGTGTGTTTCTGTGTGAGCTGATATCATAATGCTACACCTGCATGTCCTCACAAGCCCACATATCTGAAGAGAAGAAGGGCAAGTACAACAAAACCAAGGACGGATGAAAGAGAGAGGAGGCCCTGCAGTTTGTTTGATGAAAGATTTAAATAAAGCTTATTTTCTATCGTGTTACTGAAATACTACTTCTACTACTAATGTCAATATTCATGTTCTTGCACTAAGACTACTGCTATTTAGTATCAGGTTACTGTCACTACTCAGTAATTGCTGCTACAGTTAGTCATACTTATGTTTCTATTTCAACCACTACAGCTCCTCCTCTTCCTCCTTTTACCACGACTGAAATCACATCAACGCTTCGACTTACTGCTCCTCCTTTTACTACTGATATGTTCACTTCGCCCACATTCACTGTACTACCTTCAGTTCGACATTTAGGATGTGGGAGTGGCGGTGGGAGGGACCGTGTGACTCTTTTTGACCTGCTTGGTAATGTTAATGATCTAC